TTGGGAATGCAATCAGAACTCGTGCCATTCATGATCACTTAAACCCGATCTTAGATGACTTAAATCCTGGAATAGTGGCACCAGAGATTCAGGCAGCCCACTTCGAGCTCAAACATGTCATGTTAATATGATGAATTCCACAGGGCAGTTTGAGGGCATGCCAAATGAAGATGCCAAGCAGCATATTCGTAGCTTCTTGGAGGTGTGTGATTCTTTTCGCCAACAAGTAGTGCACAAAGATATCTTGAAATTAAAGTTATTTTCATATTCTCTGCGTGACCGAGCAAGGGCTTGGTTGAGTGGAGTTCCAGCGAGTTCAATAGAGTCATGGACTGATCTATGCAAAAAAAATTGTTGTGGTATAATCCTCCGAACATGAACACCCAACTAAGGAACAACATAGCTTATTTTCATCAAGCTGGTGACGAATCAATGTATGAATGCTGGGATCGATACAAATGATTGTTTCGTAAATGTTTGAATAATGGTTTTCAAGATTGGACGCAAGTGGTGATGTTCTATAATGGAGTAAATGCATCCACGAGGGTTATGCTAGATGCCTCGATAAATGGGACATTACTTGATAAATCATGAGCATAGGCATTTGACATTCTGGATAGGATTGTCACCAATGATTATCAGTTTCCATCCACAAGGCTTGGACTTGGGCTCAAACCACATGGAACTTACGAGCTAGATTCTAAGGATACAGTAACCGCCCAACTTGCTGTTATCACGAAATATGTTGAAGAATTTGCAAAGGCCAAGCGAGGTGAGAGAAGTAAAGGCAGCCCATTCAGCATGTTTATTATGCCACGACAATCCCAATGAGAGTGACTGCCCGACCAGTCAAGAATCCATCAACTATGTAGGCAACTTCAATCGAGGCAACAACAACCCCTATTCTAACACATATAATCCTAGATGTCGTTAACATCCAAACTTTTCATGGGGAAATCATGGGACCAGCAATGCTCATCAACCAGCTCCACAGCAGAATTTCAATGACTCCCAGGGTTTTCAATCGAATATGTCATGGTATAATTCCAACAAGGGAAGTCCATCTTCATCTAATACCAGTTCTTTGGAGGCCATAATGCAAGAGTTCATAGAAACAACGAAGACAATGCTGCAAGACCATACGACCTCTATCAAAAACCAAAGAGCCATGCTTCATAGCCACAATTCGTTGTTGAGGGCATTGGAGAGTCAGGTTGGTCAAATTGTCGCGACATTACAAGAACGAAGACCAGGACATCTGTCGAGCGACACTGAAGTCACCAAACCTCATGGCAATGAGCAATACAGTGTGTTAACTCTCCGAAGTGATACACGAATTAATGTTGAAGACAAGTTTGGGGGAAGACCAAAAGATGATTCACCCCCTATAACCGTGCAAGCTGATCAAAAAGTGCTGGAAGAAGCACCAGAGGAAGAGGACAAAGTTGAGGGTTCATCAAGTAAAGAAACTGAGGGGGCAAATAAAAATGCCAAGGCAACTTCTGTTCACACCCTATCAACACAAGAAGTCAGACCCCCACCTCTTTTTCTGCAAAGACTAATGAAGCATAACGAGGATATTCAATTCAAGAAGTTTGTTGACATTCTGAGTCAACTTCAAATCAATGTTCCTTTTCTGGAGGCCATGGAACAAATGCCTACATATGCTACATTCCTCAAGGAGATTGTTACCAAGAAAAGAAAGGTTGAGTAGTACGAAACAATTGCCACGACAAAAGAATTTTCCTCTTCTTTAAGAAAGCTGTCACCAAAGAGACATGATCCGGGAAGTTTCATCATCCCATGTTCGATAGGAGACAAATTTGTTGAGAAGGCACTGTGCGACCTTGGCTCAAGTGTGAACTTAATGCCTATGTCAATTTTTGTGAAGCTTGGGATAGGAAATACGAGACCCACCTCTGTCATCTTGCAATTGGTCGATCGATCACATGTTCATCCCGAAGGGCGAATTGAAGATGTCATTGTGCGAGTTGACAAATTCGTTTTTCCAGTCGATTTTCTGATTCTGGACTGTGAGGTCGATGCCACATCACCCATAATCTTGGGGAGACCCTTCCTAGCTACATGTCGTATTCTCATCGACTGCGAGAGGGGCAAGCTGACCATGAGAGTGGCCCGACCTCACCTTCCCCAGGAATCAAAACCCTTATAAAATTGTGATTAATTGAAGGTCAATCGACAGCCAATCGATGTTTTATTCCTCGCGAAGCCTAGGATAAAAATTGTGATCCCACGAGATTTTGACGACCAATCGACGTCAACTATTACAACATATAACCAGGAAAATGGTAGGGACTACGTCGGCGACGATGGTCATGGCCAGAAAGGATAGTGGGGTGGTTTAAGGTTAGGATTTGGGCATTTTACGATTTGAGGGCTTTTTGTAATTTAAGAAAAAATGGGTTTTTATAAATGTAATAATTTTGAAAAAAAAAAAATCAAAATTATCATAATGTAACACATGCCACTTTACGAGGAAATTAACACTTTTAAGGTCACAAGTACTTAAAGTGATAATGTTTGTAAAGTTACACGTCAAGATCATTCAAAAATAATTTAAACACATATTCCTGAAAATTTGTATAGTTTGTACACTTGTTTTATAATTAAACTTAAAAATATAATTTATAAAATTTTCAAATAAATAATATATAAATATTAAAAAATGAATAGATATTTGGGATTTAGAGTTTTATATTGAAATAAAAAAAAAGGTACAAAAGTCTACACGAACCATATTCAATTGAAATAATATTATTAAATGATTCATATCGTCTTTTTCACGGTAACAATGTCTATATTATATTGTGGTTAAAATTTTATCGATGAAGTTACATAATTAAATATAAAATTAAAATTTAATGTTATACTCGAAAAAAGGGAAAGCATTTTTCATGGACTATCAGCGCCCGAGTCCGACACACGTGTTCAATGCGTACTCATATTCAGGGTTTTCCTTGGAACATCAGGGGCTCAATTCCAGACCATTAATGGCTATTCCTTACAATAACGAAGTTTTCTTTTTGGCTAGCCTTTGTTTCTACAAGATTGTTTCAAAACAAGAACTACCAACAGGACTAATGTAAGAAAAACATAACTGAGCTACCAACATAAACATTGTCTTAAATTTTACTGGAAATGATTAGCTTGAAGCTTCTTCTCGACCCACGAAGGAGACAACACGGGGCTCATCTCGTATTCAGCCATTGTGATCTTCTTCGAATTGTTTCGATCGGAAGAATCGACACAGCCAAACATTCATGGAAACAGCTCCCTTCCTCTCTTCTCCACACCCTAATCGTTGTATCCTCTGATCCGCTAAATATCAACTTCTCGATAGCCACTAAGCAAAGAACCGAAAACCGATGGCCCTGTAAGAACCCACCGTGGTTGAACCTACCGGACATTCTTTCTTTCTCCCAGAAGTTTACGGTGCCGTCGGACAAACCCGAATAGAGGAAACAATTGTTTGACGTCGAGCTTATTGCCATGGCGTTAACCGGTGATTGTTGAAATCTCAGTGTCATGGTTAGCGTGTGAGAGTTTTCTCTGTATAACCTCCTCCATATCTTCACTGATCCATCAGAGGAACAAGTGAAAACGCGCCCATCATCTTGGTTAACCACTATGGCATTGACCTTGCTTTCATGAACCACAAATGTGTCCACACATTTGTTATCTTGAAGCCGCCATGCCTTAACTGTTCTATCATATGAGCCAGTGTACAACAGCCCTTCGGCATGGTAGTAAGCCATGCAAGAAACACAGTCTTTATGTTGTTGGCTGCTTGTCGTTGGGAACAAAAGAAACGAGCTTCTCTTTGGGAGTGTTGACGTCTTTTTGAACCCAAAATTATCTGAAACCGTGTAGTTCCATATCCTGATCTTGCAGTCTCTAAGTGCGGTGAAAAGCTTGTGACCAAAAGTCAAAACAGCCCGGATTTCACCGGAACTTGTCTTGATACAACCCCTCTCGGTGCAGTCAGACTGCCTCCATACGCGGATACGTTTGCTATCAGAGCCGGTGAAAACCAACCCTTTCGAGAGTGCGATGGAGTGGATATTACCGTCCTGCCGATGAAGAGAAGCGATGCAGTGGTAGAGGAGAGAAGGCGATGGAGTTTGAAGTGGAGATAATGTCCATGATGTTTCAGGGCTACCGGGTGGCAACATCGAATCCATTGCAGCAGCACTCGTTCGGGGACTCGAAGGTCTTCCGGGGCTGAACTGGAGGTCATGGTCATACATATTTAGGTGAGTTCGAATCGAAAGTCTAGGAGGCGATTGAGTTGGATTGCTTTCGTTGTCCATAATGCAATGACCAGTTTTCCTGCCAGAGAATTCCATGAGGAAAAAAGAATGGGATATTGAAGGATTGAACTGAAAGCCTGCAAGAGCTAGGTAGAGATATACAAAGGGATGCATCGGCAGTGTAGTTAAGAATTTAATTTGGTGAGTTGGGGTTAATTGGTATGGTCTCAATGACAAAATTTAAGAAGAGAAGCTACGGAAAGGAAGAAATGAGACACACAAATAAATTCAGTGATATTGATGGGATATTATGGTTCAACACTAGCCTTTTTTCAAGCTTCATTTCTTTTCTCACCCAATTTTCCTTTCTTTTCCAGAACAATAGCAGTGAATGTGTTAGCTAACAACTTCCCACCATCCAATCCACGCCCAGTAAATTGTAAAAGCATGAGTGGTTACACACCATTTTATCGCTGTTAAAAATGTTAGGTAACCATCTACTTTCTCTTCTTTAACTATATTGATCAATAATAACTCGCTTGGCCAAAACAGCTGAAGGAAAAGACTATGCAATTACCCATTTACATAATGCTGGGATTAGAATATTTCGTCCGTCCCATCAGACCAGCCAATTGAATTAAGAACAAGTGGTCTGTCCGAGCAGGTAAGACCAGTACAGGCCGATTGGTAAGAAAGGAAAATTTCTCTTTCATCAAACAATGGTAGTAAGTTGTAACAAGATCAAAACTTAGAAACAATAAGGGTATCATTACATCAAACTTTTAATACAATTTGGTCAGAAAGGTTGTGAAACTGTGAGGAAATGAGAGCTCAACCAATACAACAATAGCTGATGCTGAAGTCCGGTAAAACATGAAATTCAAAAAAACCAGGGATTTCCCCAGTGGTTGAGGCTATGCGACTGAAAGTGCTATAAAGTCACCCAGCTTTAGATGAATCAACTGATTGTTGTTGCAAGTTCCTCCCGAGAAAATCAAACAATTTGGTGCTTGCAGCACGCCCCCGTTCTAGGCAGTAAAAATAATCATCCACTGGAATGAGGGTTTGAATAAGAAATATATTACAATCAAATATGACATCACAGATGATTTAAGCCCAACTAATACTTCGAGAGGCCAAAATTAAATATCATAGTTACAACACCCTAAATCCAAGTAAGAAAGACTTTCAAGGCAAGTGGTTCTATTTCAATGAAATTGGTATTTGCAATTCCCAAGTTCTTGATCCAGAATGCATACCAACGAAAGTGATGCATTCAATTTATTCACAATTACATGTGATTCCACGGCCACAAAGTAAAATTAATTTGAAAAGGATAGGCTTATAGACAGCAATGGTTACCTGACATTATACCATGAGTAACAGATGTAACAATCCCATTTTCAATGGGTTCACCTTGCACACTTAGTGATCCTTCAGGAAGGACTGGATGGACCAAGTTTGGGAAGACTAAATATGCAAATGCCTTCATATTCTGTTATTATTAATGACATGAATGTCAGGAAATAGAATTTAAACAAAATTTACGAGAAGCCAATGTAACTCGATTCATTTTGTATAAAGCTGCAGTGAGATGAAATCTACTGGTGTCAAAGTATAGCTTACAGTGCAGACTATTTCAACATAATTGGATATTCCCTCTTTTGGAGGCTAGAAGTCTCACACATGAGCTACATTCTAGTTAGAGAAGAAAAATTTAATTAATTAATTAATAAATAAATAAATAAAGGAATTTTGTGATAACCTGCTCTTCTAGCTTGGTTGGGTCCAAAATAACAAGTCCACTCCTTGCCACGCAACAGCATATGGAGACTGCAAAATCCAGCATAAGATCAGCAAGAACTTAAGCGCTTGGTATCGATGAAACAAGATATGGCCACATGTCTTCATTGCTCACCAGCAAGATGCCTCATAGGAATCCCTGCATCTACAAGGCCATACATGCTGCATTAATGGCACTTGGGTGGGTGCAGACTGTGGACATACAATCATTGAATCATAATTTAAGCAAAATGTACTCAAATGAAATCTCTAGCATGAACACTCCATGCAGCAACATCATTGTCTCTCAAATTATAGTTTTCCCAATGTAGATTCTGGCAACATATCTCTAACAAAGATTAGACTATAACCACCGGAAGCCTAAACTTTGGAAAACTGAAACAAAATGGAACAAAAAAATGAAACTGTAAAACAATATTAAGGGAAATGCATAAAGGATACAGCACCATCATCATTCCCAACCTGCCAGACAAAACATAAACTTGATCTATGAACAACTCGGCCATAAACAAGAGATACTTTTCGCAGGTGGTTAACAAATAACCTAGCTGGATTATAAATGATGTTGTAGTATTCGGATTAACAGTTAAGATACAAATACTCTGCAGGATTCTCTTCAATATCATCTCGTATTCCTTTTCTAGTTTCTCCAAACACCAACGTACATTTTTTTCAAAATTATCGCAGCTTACCAAACTTCAAATGCAAGAATAATTAAAAGGGATTTTAAGAAAGCACCTTTTTGTCCTGTTTTAGGTTTCCAAATAACTTCAATGCAAGCTTTCTCAGGGTTCTCATTCTTTTTAGTTCTAGCTTCGGGCCCATAAACAGCAGCAAGGACTTTCGTATCTCCAAAATTAAAAAAATAAATAAATAAGCAAGATATATAACCAAAATACTACAATTACTCAACAGTTTTCCCCTTTTTCCCGTAAATTAAGTACCTTGAGACCAACTGGCAAAGCCATGAGATCGATGGAGAATGCTGCGAGAGCAGGCGAGAGGTCTCAATTGGTTAGCGTCCGTCTTCCCTATTTGTAGACACCCATTTTCTTAAAAGATAGAACTAGTAAGAGTTTCTCTCCTAAGAGGACTCTTCCACCACCATATCTTTTAAAGCAACAACCACACCAACAAACGTGCAACAACGAGCAAGAAATCTAGTTGCATTAAGATTCTATTGTTAATAGGATTCTAAAAATAGTTAGTTTTTTCACTATAAATACATATAATTCTCCCCATTTCTAGCATGTGCATGTTATTTTTCTTGAGATTTGGTTTGAATAACCTAAAGCGTTGGTTGTGTTGATGACCAAAAAGGGGGTGGAGTTTCGAAGTTTCGAACCTAGATCTACTCTTGAGGCATGTTCATTTTTTTAAAGTATTTAATATTCCCCTTAAGTCAATCTTAATTTTTAATTTACCTTGAAATTTACCCTTTAATTTTACTTTTATATTAATTTCGTCCCTTATATATATATTTTTAATTATATTTTTTTATTTATTTACTATATTCCTCTTTTTTTATTTATATTATATTATTTTTATTATATATATCTTATATCATTATATATATATATATATATATATAGATGTATTAATTTTTTTCCATTTACTATGTATATATATTTTTTTAATATTATATTTTATACGTTTTTATATATATTTTCTTAATATTCTATTTTTGTTTTTATTTATTTATATATATTATATTTTTACTTTATTTTATTTTTTCTATTATTGTTTTTCTTAATATCATGTATATCTTTATTTTTAGTAAATACTACTTTATATGTACATATTATTTTTATTCATTTTTAATTTCTTTTACATTTTTTTAATTTTTTACTCCATTAATTTTTTCCCTTTATCTGTGTCTTTGTTTTTTAATATTTTATTCATTTTATTTATTTTTATTATTTTATTATTATTTTTTACGTGTTTTTTTTATTTTCCATTTTTTCTTGTTTTGTTTATTATTCTCACGTTTGCACACTTGCTATCCTAATTCGATTTTATACTCCGCTACGAATCTAACGTTTTTATCTTTTTAAGGGTATTCAAATCAATCAATTGTAAGTAATTTGAATCGGGTCTGTTAAATTTTAATTTTAATTTTGAATTTTCGCAACTAAGACAATCGGCAAATTAATTGGTACCAAAAGGGCGGTTCAAGGGTGCTAATCCTTCCTTGACCGTAACCGACTCCCCAACCCGACACATTTCTGGTAAAAACGCAGATCAGGTAAGATGGTGTCCGACCCACCTAAATTCGTTTTAAAATGGTCGGTGGCGACTCCAATCCATATTTTTCAAGTCGAAGCCCAATTTCGAGGCCCAACCGAAATACGGTTACGACAGCTTGGCGACTCCGCTGGGGACAGGTAAGTGAGTCAGACCGAAATTAATTTCCGGTTGCCTTTTTTTTTAGCGAAAATTACAAGTTTAAATTTTAATTTATTTATTGGATTCTAATTGTTTATCTTTGATTATTTTCAAATAAATAGTTGTACTAACGTTTTTTAATGATTTTAGATTTTTCAAAATTTTCATCTCATGCTCTATACCCGAGCTCCGAACCCTTTTAAGTAGGGGCGAAAGTGACGCCTTCGTGGGAATTTATTCTCCGTATGGGCCTAGCAAGTAACCTTCGGGATTCATATACCTTATGTCTTCGTGTGAATTTATTCTCCGTATGGGCATAAGGGAATGTTTCCTCTCGAGTTTAACTTAGTCCACACGAGCTTGTAATGGGCTTAGGACTAAGGGTCTGGTAAGCCCAAGGGGCACCGGCAAGGAGAACTCGGGTACCATTTTTTAAAACCTAAACCGAGAGGCTATGGAGAATTAGAGCCCACCCCAAAACCTCATTCCAAACCCTAGGTTATTTTGTTTCATGCTTTACTTTCTGTTCAAAGCATGTGAACTAGAAATTTATGCAGTTAGGAATTGTTCAAAATTAACTTGCGGGATAGAGATCATGTCCGGGTATGTGGGGTAGATATCATGTGGGGTAGGATTTTTCATTTTTATTATTGTTTTGATTTACCTCACTAACTCTTTTTTACTTTTGTTCTCTTTTATTTTATTTTCATCATTTGCATCATTTAAAAGTGGTGTTGATCCACCAAAAACGTGTTTGTAAAAAACATGAATGATCTGCATTAATGGACAAAGAGGTTGTAATACAAGAGGTGAAAAACGCAGGGTTCCGGCTATGATCAGAAAAGACTCAGAAAGAAAATGAGGATAATTTGGAAGACAACTATGTGTCACATTCGATCAAGAAGACATGGTGCCCACAATCAAATAGATCAAAAGTCAACTTTTCAAAAATGGGTTGACAAAGGTGGCAGGGGCAAGACGAGAAAAAGGTTACTGACCTCAAGAGTCCCTTCAAAGACAACAAGAACAAGATAACAAAACGATAGATGAATTGGAAGCCATTGTCGACAAATTCAATGAACTTCAAATAATCCCTTTGATGGAGGATTTCAATGATGTTTCCGTTATAGAACAGGTTCAGCAAAGGATGAAATCCAAAGATGTAGTCATTCGATACTTCTGGGAACAAGTACAAGAAACAGCTCATCACTTACACCATTTAGCCAGAGAAGCCGAAGCGGTTCGGCAGTGTATTCAACCGGTGACAGACGAAGGCAGAAAACTAGTTAACTTATTTCAGGGTCTAGAGGATTTAGTCTGGATGTGCCTTTAAATATGTTTATTGTATCTTAAAAGATAAAACACTTTTGTCCCAATAAAGATTATCTATAATAAACAGACAAGTTTTCGGATCAATGCCTCTAACATTTCATGCATTTTTGCATTTTGCATTTTGCATCTACATTTCATTTTTAAGCATTTTCATAAACATGAAATTTCTTCATGGAGGATTCGATGAAGTGGTTTTAACCACATGACACCACATGGAAGCAATATTGTAACATCAAAAGAAAAAAACTGAAATCACAACGAATGAGCCTGATCAGCTGGTTGTACGACTAAGCCTGCCAGGATGATCTGAGAAAAGAGTCCACATATCCTAAGGGCTACGATGTTGAAGCTATTTGCAGTTGCCACATAGGATGTTCCATACATTCCTCTGAGAACTATAAGGCGCTGAAGCGCGAGATCCAAAACCTGATGGATTCAGGAGCATGGACAGCCAAAGAAGGGGACATTACATATATCATTTGCACTTAGAGGATTGTTTTGTTTGAACACGTCTTTGATCTTTCATGTTTTCTTAATCTTTTAAACGATTGAATTTATGCTACTTTCTAAGGTGGAGCAATTGAACAAATTTTAATCTTTAGTTCTTCGAATATTAAATGAATTAAGGATTCTTTTAATTCTTCAAGAATTATAGATTTTTGACATATGGAAAGATTAAACCTTTCTTATCCTGTCTCAAACCTCAAAATAAAACACCTTGATTCTTTACCCAAAATAACTCATAGTCATTACCAAAAAGACCAAATTTTGACATTACCTCCCTTTGAAACTTTTGAACATTGCCTTTATCTTTTGATACACCCATACCTTTCTTTGAGTCAAATAAAGTCACACCATTGTCTTTTTAGACTCAAAATTGACATTTTTATGCCATTAAAAATCAACGCATTGAGTTGTTCATTTGAACATGAGCCTTCTTCTAAGACACAACTTGGGGCATCTCGTAGGGAGCATGAACATTGAGACATGTTGGGGGCAAGAAGCAGAAAGAAGAATTCACTCAGAATAATTCTATCATGCATTAATTGCACTGTTTTCATGTGAATAAAAATAATCCTGAAAATCTATCCCCTGAGGATACCTCTTCTGTGAGGACTTCCATGTATGAAATGATGAACAACTTTTTTTCTTTATCCCTTCACAACAGGAGAAAATATATATCCCTTGTGTCCCCTTTTGAGCCTATAGTATTTTTCTTCTGATTCAACCCTAACCAAGGATCACCCTCCACACTGGGGGGCAAGGTGGAGAAAATCTGCTCGCATGAGTGAAGATATTAATTCAGATGAGGTACCGAAAGGTGAACCAAATGCCAAGTGCAAAGATTCAATCAGAACAAAAAGAAAAAAGAGAAAAAAGTAAAGAGAAAATAAAAAAGGAAAATTGAAGAAAAAATAAAATAAGATGCATATGCAAAGATTCTCTCGATTCAAACGACGCATCTAGATTTAAACTA